AAAAGACCCAACCAGCACTATTGTAGAGGAGGAAAAGTTTATTGGGGGGCTCACTGTTTCAGAGGTCTCAATCCATAGACTGCTGTCTCCATTCTTGGGGCTCAAGGTGAGGCTGAGAATCATGGTGGAATAGTGTGGCAGCTCATATGATTATCATGAAGCAGAGAGAGAGGCTCTATTTGCCAGACACAAATATATACCCCAAAGCCACAGCCCCAGTGCTCCTCCTCCTCCAGCCACACCCAAGCCTTCAGCTACCACTCAGTTAATCCCATCACAGGATGATCCACTGATTAGGTTAAGGGTCTCATAACCCAATCATTTCTTCTCTGAACCTTCTTGCATTGTCTCACACATGAGCTTTTGGGGGACACCTCACATCCAAACCATAACCACCTGAAATGCCAGAAATGCCTCCTTTGCTTTGACCTCAATTTGGAAAAAATAAAAACTTGAGTCAGTTTCTTAATGGATTTGTGTTAAGAAACTATTTATCTATTCCTATACAAAACAGTTCTCTTATTTTTTAAATTTACACTGGCTTTTTGATCCTGTTTATTTTTGAATGGTTCAAAGCCAGAAAAATTAAAACAGCCTACATTAAAAGTTCTCCTCAACTGATTACAAACACCCAATCACAGTGTCTCCCATTCAGAACAATTGGCTTGACAGGCTGTGTATCCTCCTGGGAACTTCAAGCACATTCAAGCAAGTATAAGTCATAAAGTCAGTGTGCTATAAAATTGATCTTCTTTTGTTTAATAGTGTGTCTTATAGATAGTTCCACTTCAAACAAAAACACATTTAAAGTAGTCTTTGGATGGCTGCATATTGCTTCATTTATTTGACCAATCAATCTTTTATCAATAGATAACTTCCCTTTCTTTCCTTCTGTTTTCTTTTCTGTCTTTACCCCGTTCTTCGTTCTTCTCTTCCTTCCTTCCTTCCTCATTTTTTACATTACAGTCAATTATGGAATGAATGACATTGTAAGTATATCTTGTTTGAACGTAGGAATTTGTAAATCTAGAACATATTCTTTGTTGTGGAAATACTGAGTTAGAAGTTATATACCTACATTTGATTTTTTTAAAAAATACTGTGAAATTTCTTTGGTTTAAAGTTATATGTTTCAGATGACTGTTTGTTTTAAAGTATCTATTTTTCTACAACCTATTATCAAAAATTTAGATTTTTTTTTTATTTTGGCAAATAAAAAACTATATTTTTGAGGATATTTAATATTTACTTTATTGAGGTAAATTAAATAAAATATTATATTGTTTTTTCTTACATATTAAAATGCAGTGCACTCACCTTAATTATGCACTTTAAAATGCTTTGATAAATTTATACATATGTATAGCTACCTCTACAATAAAGATAAAAATATTTTCTTTAAAATAAATCTTCTCTTGAGCCTCACCCAACTGGTGGCCCTATACATTCTTGGTAGCTTGGGACCTTGAGCTTCTCTTTGCTGATGTTAAATCCATTGTTTGTAAAGCTTCACATAAATGGAATAAAAAAGAATATACTTCTTTCTGCCTAGATTCTTTTCTTCAACACAGTGATCCTGAGATTTAATCAAGTTTTATATGTACCGTCATTTGGTTTTTTATTGCAAAGTAATATTCCATTGTAAAAATATCCAAATGATTTATTAATATACCTATTGATGGCTATTTGAATTATTTTTAGTTTTTGAATATTTGAACTAACTTACAATGAGTATTTATTTGTAATTGTTATATGTGCATATGATTTTCTTTCTTTAGAGAAAATACTTAAAAGTAGAATTGCTGAGTTAAACTTCTTAAAAGATTGACATATGGAACAAACTGGGTGAATAATTTTACATTTTCATCATTAATTAATCAGTCTTTTATATTTTTGTCATTTGAATATTTAATACTATCATATTATAGTTTAATTTGTATTTGAGGATAATGAATATTGAGAATCTTCACTTATACGCATTGGCCATCTGATAACCTCTTCTATGAACAGCCATTGTTATAGTTTGGATATGAGGTGCCCTCCCAAAGCTCCCATGTTAATACAGAATATTCAGAGGTGAAATGATTAGATTAGGAGAGTTGTAATCTACAGTTCATTCCAGTTCGAAGGACTAACTGGTTGTTAACTGTAGGCATATGGAGCATGGATGGAAGAGGTGGGCCACTATGGCATAAGCTGAGGGATTCATCCTCCCTGTGGCCCCTCTCCTCCTCCTCTCTGCTTCCTGGCTGCCGTGAGCAGAGTGGTTTTCTTCTGTCATACACTTCCACCATGATGTTCTCTCTCACCTTAGGTCCAGAGCAATGGAGTCAGCCAACCATGGACTAATCCTCTGAAATCATGAACCAAAATAAGCTTTTCTGCCTCTTGAGTTGTTTTTGGTCAGATATTTTGACCACAGTTATGAAAAAGCTGATCAACACACCATTTGATCCCTTGTTCCTTTACATTTAGGTGTTTGTTTATTTCAGACTTGTAGACATTTACATATCCATCATTTCATGATTTTTCTATCATCATTATTCACATCTATCATCCATCTTATATTTCAGGTAGGTCTTGTGTCAAAGCACTCAAGCTACAATTGTTGATTTGGTTATTCCTCCTCCCTTTAGTTCCATCAATCTTTGTTTCATTGTTGTGAAGCTCTGTAATTAGGTATTAAAACACTTAATATCATATATATTTTTTGAAAATCAATCCTGTTATCAGTACATATGTTCCCTTTTTTCCCCTAGTAATACAAGTTTATCTTGTCAAATTATTTATATGCTTAGTTTTGCATGAATATCATTTTCATTCATATTTTATCTGTGTTTTCATATTTTAATGGGTTGCTTTAAGCATTCGTGCAATTTTTAAAAATAATCTAGTCTGATAATCTGTCTTTATCTTGACTGATTAGGCAGTTGTTTTTCTTAAATGTATTTATTGTTATGGTAGGGTTTACATAAACTATCTTGCTATGAGATTTTAGATTTTAAGTCTATATTTAGATAAGAAAAATTTTCCTCTTTCCTATAAGTTTTATAATGTGCATCTTTTACTTCTCACAGTCTACCTAAAATCATAATGTTATTTCATATGTAATACAAAACTTTTATAAGTATGTACTTCTGTTTTCTCTTATAAACCTTTGTGCTAAATTTGTCATATTAAATCCCTCAATATATTATTACTATCATTGTTTTAAACTCTCAATTATTTTCTACCAAAAGCCTATTCTTAACATCATATTTCACACAGTGAAAGATGGAATGGCATCCCACTAATATTGGGAACAAAGCAAAACTGTCTTCTCATCACTGCTATTCAACATTGAACTGCTTATTCAGTGCAATATGCAAAAAGAAATAAACCAAAAAGAGGCATCAGAAAAAAAGAAATAGGTCTTCATTCACAGGTGACAGGAGAATGTACTTAGACGTGCCCATTGTTTTCTGATAAGAGCTAAAATGTACTGTTTCTTTTTGATAATTTTTATTTAAAAGGAGGGTGGTTCAACCTCTAAGCATGGATCTGAAAAAAGTAAAGAGGACATTCTAAATAAAGTTTTTCAAAAAGAAAATATCTCTTCTTCTCCTTTTAATTTAGTTTTTGCCTCTCATTCTCCCAGGAGGGAATGAGAATTCCTCTACTACATTCAGTCGATTTGTCTCAGAGATTATATTTTGTCTGGCACATAATTGAGGGTGGCCAAGAGACAGGACTAAAGGACTAAGCATACTATTTTTTCATCCAGCTTGTATGAGACAGGTTATTTGGATACCTGTTGAAGCATTTATAAATCATTGTATTTTATATACATCTTAAGATCAAATTATTTCTAGTGGAAAATAACACTTATTTTTTAATTTAATAATTCTGCTTAATATCTAGAACAATACAACTTTCCTGGGCAACTTTTTTATTGCTACAAATTCTTGTTCATCACTACAATTTTAAAAAATATTCTCATTAGTTTTAAAAAGTTGATAATAGTATATTCATTACTTTAGTGTAGACAGACTTATTTATTCCCTAAAATGTAGTAATAATACAATGAAGGCTATAAGAATTAAGTTAAGAGAGTTTAAATTTTAATCAAAACATTACAGTAAAATTTTCCAGTAAACTTAAAGAATTGAAATATATCCTCAGTGAGTGAGTTAAAATCAGAATAAAAATCTCAATTTGTCTATGTTGGAAGATATTATTCATTTTTTATCAACATACAAACAAATGATTTCAACATTAAGATAGTCCCTGCCTTACCAGGATTTGAATTATGATTTTTTGACTTCATGAGGGTATGAAAGCTATATACATTCAGTAGAAACCATATTCATCTGATAGCCCTCTCTTCTTTTCCATTTTAGGATATGAGTATAACATTGTATTTAGGAAAGTGCTCTAAATAAGACTGCCTGGGTTTATTACTTTCTAATTCTGGGACCTTGGTCAAGTTACTTTAACTCTTTGTACCTCTGGTTTATTATATATAAAGTGAAGGTGTTACTCCATTGGGGTTTTCCTTATGAGGTAATAGGTTCCATTTTAAACTTGGGTGCCATCTTGGTAGTACCTAAATGAAATTAAGGCATATCGTTATAATTGAATTCTTACAGAATATTTAGTCATATATTGTTGCCATATTTGATAAGAAAAAAAAAGTAATTTAGTCAAAATAATTCTTCGATTCACTCAGAAAAAGCTGACTGAGCACTTACTATCTGTCAGGCGTGTACTAAATGTTGGAGTGAGGATCAAATATGGTCTTTGACTTATAGAGTTCACTGGTTGTAGGGAGATAAGTAAGGCAACAGCAAAACAGGGGGATCCAGCTGCTACGGTAACACAGAGTAGAAATCAGAAACTTTGAAAAGGCCCAGATAGTAAATATTTTTGGTTTTGTGGGTCATTACAGTTTCTTTCATAATGACTCCAGTCTGCTATTTGGCTAAAACAGTCATAGACAATATATAAGCAAATGGGCATTATTACTATGTTCCAGTAAAACTTTATTTTTGGACAATGAGATTTAAATGTTACATAATTTCCACAATATCAGCCTTTGGTTTCTTCTCCAAAACAAGTCGTGGCCAAGTTTGTTCCGTGGACCATCATTTGGCGATCCATGCAATGGATGGAAGATCAAAATTCCTGTGAAGAGTGGTAAAGGGAAACTTCTCACTTATAGAGTACCTATTTTGTATTACTTACTTTACAAGTGATTGAGTTTACTTAGCCTAATATTCTTAACAAGTAATCATTATAACTTTTACCGAAAAAAAAATTGAAGCTTAAAAAATTAAACAAATTGCTGTAGACTCATAGGTAGTAAGCCCCAGAGTGGCATTTTGAAATAAGATCTAAATGATTCCATGAATAAGCTCATAGACTCTAATATGGGATATCATTAGATGTTCTAGTTTTTTAGAAGGCAATAAATACACAACTAAGGCATTGAATGGATAATGAGTTAGGAGAAGTGGGGCAAGATCAATGCTCCCGTAATGACTTTGTAATTTATGTTGAGAGAGAAGAAAGAACTTACAGGATTTTAAATTCCAGGATGTCATGATAAGGATTGTATTTCAGAAGAATGATTTCAGCAATATGGTAGAGGAAAACTCACTGCCTGATAAGAGCACCAACCTATATTTGTTAAATGAGATGGAGAAAAAAATATTAAAGGGATTTAAACAGGAAATTACAGCAATGATCTGGGCAAGGAATTAAGAGGCACTTTAGGTGGACAGTGATTGCCAGAATGAGAGAAGAGATCACAGAAATGCAGTGTTTCTCAAACTTAGTTCCCTGGTATAGGAGTGTGCCACTTCTAGAAATTACAGATGCTAAAACTCATCCCTGGAGAATCTGATTCAATGGGTGTGAACTTAGCATCTGCATTTTTTAAAATTTTCATGGATAATTCTGTTAATAAGAGTAGTAAATTACTAGGAGACACTCAAGAACTAGCATGGCATCACATAGATTATGGAACATTTATTAAGATGGGAGCAAATGAGGCAGAGAGTGTTGACTTTCTTGGGCATCTTGGGTGACAGACACTGAATAAAGTGGCCCAGAGCTAAAGAGGGAGGGATAGACAGTAGAGACACGGTAGCCAGCAATCACAGAAAGAGGAATGAAGCACAGTTTGCATGAGTCAAGTATTGTTACCTGCTGGATTTCAAGATCAGAAATCCTCCAAGGGTAATCATGAGTTTGACAGAGAGGACCTATTGACTTCTTCAAACCTTTAAAGCACACCACTTTTTGACTTTGGCTTTTGTGCTTAATTAGGGTCATCAAGGCTCTACATGTCAGCGTGGTGCCATAAAATCTCCAGAAATGAGGCTTTTTCTAATACTCCAGCCAAACTCAGAGCACAAAGTATTGTGGGGGCAGTGGGGCCAGGAGGGGACAAGCAGCAGCAATATCAGCACTCATTGTACACCAGCTAATCAGCAGCACTGCAGGGGAGCAGTTGCCACAATTAGCTTCACTTCTTGCAAAGCTGAAGCAGAAGATGAATACAAGAGAGAATGAGCTGTACACTCAGTCAATGTTGCATTTCGTAGAAATTGTCCATGCCAACAGTATGAAGGGGAATGCCTACATTTGTTTGATTAAAAAGAGAACAAACAAAACACCCAGCTCTCATAAGGATAACTAAAACTATTTCACAAGATATAGAAAGATATAGCAGAAGCAGGTTTGAAAACATTTACAGTACGGATGGCATTTCTCATGAAACTCTGCATCAGATTAACAGTAGCCTTTTTAGATCACTCTGAAGAAGCATTATAGATGTGCGTTTTCATAATTGTTGGCTCAAAGACCATTATCTAGTAAATCGATAACCAATGGTGTTTAATTGGATGCATGGTGCTCCTTATTTATTTATTTATTTATAATTCCCACACTTGTGATTCCCATAAGAATTTGAGGTCACTTGCAAAAAGAATGTTTATTTAGTCTGCATTTTTAAATAAAGTAGATTTTCATCAAGATTTTTTTAAGTCAGATTAAAACAAAACAATAATTTTATCCATTTGTCATCCCTAGGATATTTACAAATATCAGAAAAGATACCTGCAAATAATAACCTTATGTTGCTATTACTTGACTTAGTCTTTTGAATATGTTAATCATTTTGTTTTGTATTAGTTCTCCTGTCCCTCATTGATTCTTCCTCTCCACCATTCTTCTAAAAATAGTTACAGTGCAACATTTGGTTATCCACTCTAGGCGCTTACCACATTATGCCAGTGTGGGTTTAATTCATTGTAGAGCCAAGTAACCTATCATGACTAACCTTTGTTAACTTTTATATACTGCACATTAATAATTCCCTTGCTTTTTCATTTATTTATCTTTATGTATTTATTGCTAATTCTTCCTAAGAATACCAACAAGTTCATATATTTTTCCAAATACTTAGACAACTAATCATAGATAACTCATGTATAATAATAATAACAATAATAATAATTTTCTCCTCCTCCTCCTCCTCTTCCTCCTCCTTCTTCTTCTTCCTTCTCCTCCCTCTCCTCCTCCTCCTCCTCCCTCTTCTCCTTCTCCCCTCCCCCTTCCCCTCCTCCTTCTCCTTGTTCTTCTTTCTTGAGAATATTTTCAAAAGCCTAACATTTATCTTCTGCTCTGGACAGGTTTCTCTGTAGGTCCACTGCATAGCTGCTCCTTTGAGGACTTACCTTTCTGCATTTATGTACTGGAATACTGTTTCCTGGAATCCATGTCTTTCTTTTTCTTGGTTTATTGCCTTATTTGTCTGGATCACATCCTTCATTGGCATTCAAATAAATGGTTCAAGAAATGTACATTTTTTTTTTCAATTTTGTTTATTTGAAAGTATCTTTGGCATCCCATGGAAGTTTTTAAATATTGGTTGCCATATTTTAAATTTCCAGTGCTCTTTTTTGTTCCTTTATTCATAACATCACTTTTGTGTTGGAACTGCAATAAATTTTATCATTTTTGAAAATTTCTTTGTTTTTGCCCAAATGTTTATAGCATACATTGTTAATTTATCAAAACACGGTTTTAAATATTATAATACCTCTTCAGGTATCCTTAGGAAGATGTAACAATACACTTTCAATTCTTCCATCTTATGTGCATTTTCTCATATTTTTCATTTTGCCTGTGTTACCCATGTTATAAATTTAAAGCATTGTTTCTTGTTTGTTTAGAGCATTTTAAATTATTTCTGTATATTAATTTTTGTTATTCAAAGGCTCTTAATTTCTGTGTCTATCTCTATATTTCTGTATAACAAATTCTGTTTAATATTTCCTGATGTGGCAAATACTAGTAGTAAATAAAATATCTTTATGTTGCCCATTTTTATTAGGTACTCGATTTTATCTAACAAGTCTTTTTGTATTTCCTTCCTTCCTGGCTTCCTCCCACCCTCTCTCTCTCTTCTTTCTTTTCTTTCCTTCTTTACCCATTATTTGTAATGAATTATTTAGTACTATTCCCTCTGAGAAATATTTAGCTGCATCTCAGTATATATCCATTGATATATATCATGATTTCATTAGTGTTCAATTTTAAATATTTTCCTTCTCCATTATAATTTCTTTTTCAAGCTCAGTTTTATTATCTTTTCTCTAACCTACAATTTTATAATTAGAACTTTCAAATGGGATTTTGACTTTGGTAAATGGCCAGATAGTAAACCATTTTGGGCTTTGTGAGCCATATGGTCTCTGTAAACTCCTCAATCCTGCCATTTTTAATACAAAAGCAACCATATACAGTATTTAAATTAATGCTAGTAGCTTTGTTCTAATAAAGCTTTTTTTATAAAAATGGGTAGTGGTTGTATTTGACCAGAGGCCAGTATGCTTTTGAATTTTTTGGAAGATTTCTTTGGATTTTGTCACAACTTATTTTGCATCCTACTATATGCTAATTTTTATCAAAAGGTCCTCTGTGTTTGAGAAGAACATGAGGCTTTTTGTAGTCCTATTTATACAAACATATTTTGAGCTATTTTATCATATTATTCAATTTATTTATAGGTTTTTTGGTTTCATATTTTTATCACAAATTATTAGCTTCAAAAGATAAATACTTCTAGAAATTTTTGGAGTACACTGATGGAACTACATAGACCATTACTCCAAGCACAGTTACAATGAGTTAAGTGGAATGTTCCTTATTATTTTTATTAACAAATGTAATTTGGTATTCTAAATGGAAAGACATGTTGGAAATTTGCTTTTCATATTATTCTAAGGCAAATATAAAGGTATACTTTTTATGTTTAATTATTATTTTTTGTTTGTTTCACTCTTTCTACAATGACTAATATGGTGTGTGGAAAAAAAAAAAAACAACCTCTTCAACTGTCACTTTACTTAATCTTATATAGTCCCCTTGGAGGCTCTCTGAACTGTATCCAAAATAGGACTAGTGAGATTATGGGGTTGGGAAGAATAAAAAGGACCAGTTTTCTTGACTTTATTTGCTATATTTTTACTTCTTCGGGTTCTTCTGAAACTCTCTTAGGAATACTGAAAGAAGTCTTCCTTTCTGTTTTAAATGGTCCATGGGTCATCTGAGGAAACAGGTACAGAATAAGACAAACACCTAAGAATTAGAGGGACTCCCTTAAATTTGAAAGGTATTTGATGTGTTAGGGCTCAGAGGAAAATGGATCCCTCTCAGCAATGAGATTTACACAGTACCCATTGTTGAAAACTGTGCTTAGTTTTACATATTCCATTTGCAGACAAATCTGGGCTTTGTGCTTCCAGTTTTCTACTATAAGCACACCAAATATTCATGTTCAGGTTAGTGGGATGAGATATAAAATGAAACACAAGAGAGACCAGGATATATAAAGATAGAATAAAAAATAAGATTAAGCAAAAGTTTAGTCTGCTGATATACTAGTTGTGGTGCTGCCAAATTCCTTAAATTGATCTTCATGGCAGTCAAAACACAAATGGTGAATGCTAATCTAAATTTTCCATGAGGAAAATGTAGACTTACTCCTTTGAAAAAAAAGTTCTTTTCCTAGTTTTCAGGAAAGTATTTTTTTTTTCAAAAATTTTTTTTTAAAAAAAGAAGATAGTTCATTGTGTGAGAATAAGTCATTCAACAACTTTCTGTAATAAATGTAGTAATGGTATCTCATAGTAGTTTCTGCCTCCATACCTCCATGTAGGGTTTCTGCAATTTATACTTCCAGGAGGTAGGTTATCACAAGCAGTGTCTCTGTGGTGGCTCTCGCTAACATTTTGCAGGACTTACTCTGTCTAGCCATACACAGGCCCTGAGGTTATGTGATTCAGGGTCACTGAATTCAGCTTAGTGATATTCCACAAAAAAATTAATATGATTCCTTGGAACAATTCCCCTTTACAGTGAATTAAAGGCTGGGGCAAGACTGAGATGATTATGCAGAATAATCTAACTTTTGCCTGCTCTAAGAGACTAAACAATTTTAATAGCTGTGTAAACTTTGATGAGTTAGATAGCTTTTCTAAACCCCATAAATACATAGAAATAATATATACACCTGCCCCATAGAGTAGTTATGAGATGTACCTGAGAATAACTATAAGAAAGTTGAGTACAACATGAGACTACTTCTCAAATCAAGTTGTTAGACT